CCCTCGACTTCGAAGTAAGGAGGACACTCCTGAACCCACCAGTCATGGGAAGGGCAAGAGACCCCTATGCCATGGATATTGATAAGATGGAGGCAGGAGAAGATGATGATGGTGAGAAAAGTACGAGGAAGACTTACCTCATGCCACAAGAACGTGACTGCAGGCGCAAGAACAGCCTCTGCTTCAAATGCAGCAAGAAAGGGCTCGCCAAAGATTGCCCGAACCATCCTACGGTAACTACCGCTAGGAAGACCCAGACTAACTCCGCATCTAGCTCCAAGAAGGACAATGCCGAATACCAGGAGTTTCTGGAATGGAAGGCGTTTAAAGCACGCCAGGTAAAGAAACCGAAGAAGAAGGAAGAATCCGACGAAGAAGAGGATTTTTAGAACGGAGATATGCACCGGTGTCAGATTCTCCTAGAGTAGGACTTTTAGTACAGAGCATTGGCGATCGTAATTCTATGCGTATTCCACTTACCAATTACTCTTCTAAGGTCGAAAAAACCATCAAAGCAGCTGCACTGATCGACTCAGGCGCTGAAGGCGAGTTTATTGACTGGACATTCGTCCGTCAAAACTCTATCAAGAGTCACAAACTCGATAAGCCCATACCCGTACGAAATGTGGATGGCACGCTTAACAAAAATGGAAAAATTACACGGTACTGTAATCTCTCTTTCCTCATCTGCGGAATTCCCATGCGAACGCACTTCCTCGTCACCTCCTTGGGAGGGGAAGATGCAATCCTTGGAATGGGATGGCTAAAGAAAGAAAATCCAGGTATTAATTGGACAAAAGAAGAAGTCCATCTCCGAGAACGAAGCATCAAACCGACTATACAAGAAGTCAAAGAAGAAGACGTCTTTTTTGACGCACAGGAAAGTTTAGATGAGGAGTGGGATCCCGCTAGCAAAACCACTCCAGAATCCTTTTCTCATGAAATCCCTAACCTACTCCCCACCAAAGACGACACTGACGAAACAGATGTTATAGATCCCGATGACGTCCTCATCGCCTACATCAAAGGCGAACACGTCATAGGAACATTCTCTACGGGAGTATCCAAACCTCCCCTTACTAACGAACACATCCCTTCAGACCACCGGTATTACTCGACTTACGGCACCCTAGTACGAAAGGCACAGAACACATCCCAACTGCTCGCTCAAGAATTTTCCAAACCCGTTAAGAAAATGTTCGAAGAACTCATCCCTGAGTCATTTCGAAAATATCAAGACATATTCGGAGAAGTAGCAAACGGTATTCTACCCCCGGAACGAAAATTCGACCACAAAATCGAACTCAAGGACTCTTTCGAACCATGCAAGTGCAAGATTTATCCGCTGAACCCAGCAGAAGAGAAAGCCATGAACGACTTCGTCGACGAACATCTCGCCAAAGGAACAATCGTACCCTCTGAATCCCCCCAATCATCACCTTTCTTCTTTGTAGGAAAGAAAGACGGCTCCCTCCGACCCTGCCAAGACTATAGATACATAAACGATCACACAGTTAAGAATAACTTCCCATTGCCGCTAATATCCAATCTTATAGATAAACTCAAGAACGCCAAAATATTCACCAAATTCAACATCAGATGGGGATATAATAATGTACATCTAAAGAAATCCGATCAATGGAAAGCGGCATTCGCCACTGCACGCGGTCTATTCAAACCAACGGTAATGTTTTTCGGCATGTGTAACTCTCCAGCAACCTTTCAATTTATGATGAACGATATCTTCGGCGATATGCTTCAAGAGGGATGGGGAATCATTTATATGGACGATATTCTCATATTTTCAGATGATTACGAAACTCACCAGAAAAGAACACACAGGGTACTTGAACAACTCCGAGAACACCGCCTCTATCTAAAACCAGAAAAATGTACATTCAACATCACAGAAATCGACTATCTTGGTATGATTATATGCCCCGGCTCGGTAACTATGGATCCCGCTCAACTAAAAGGTATATCCGAATGGAAAACTCCCACGAAAGTGAAGGAAGTCCGATCATTCCTCGGATTCGCTAACTTCTATAGACGATTCATTGCCGACTATTCCACGGTGGCACGACCCTTAATCGATCTCACAAAGAAAGACGAACCCTTTTTATGGACCGAAGAACGCGAAAATGCCTTTGAAAGACTAAAACAAACCTTTATGACAGCACCTATTCTTCGGATCCCAGATAAAGCCGCACCATTTGCTATCGCAACCGACGCTTCCCTTTATGCGACAGGAGCTGTGCTCCTTCAGAAGAATGATAACGGAGATTGGTTACCATGTTCCTTCTTATCTCAATCCTTTAACCCAGCTGAATGAAATTACCAAATTTATGACAGAGAACTTCTAGCAATCGTCCGTGCCTTAAAAGCATGGCGACATTATTTACTCGGTTCTCCTTTCCCTGTGACCATACACACTGACCATAAAAACCTCCAATATTTCAGGGACGTACAAGACTTGAACAGACGCCAAGCACAATGGCAAACATTCCTTTCTCAATTCGAATTACGTATCCAACATGTACCGGGCAAAGACTTAGTCATTCCCGACTTATTATCTCGTAGAACGGATCACCTTCTGGTCGATACCGATGAAAAGGACAATATTTCCATTCAACTCTTACCCAATTCGTTGTTTATTAACACCATTGACACTTCTCTTACGGACAGATTACGTATTTCATCCGCTATTGACCCAGTAGTACAGACAGCGTTAAAAGCGCTTACGGACCCAGAAACCCTACCTCCACTCCGTTCGGCTCTTTCCGACTGGAAATTGAGCGATGGAATTCTTCTATATAAAGGACTTACTTACGTACCCCCCAGCGATATCCGCCACGAACTCACTACTCTTCATCACGCCTCCCCCACCGCAGGACATCCTGGACGTTTTAAAACTCAGGAACTCCTGTCCCGCGACTATTGGTGGCCAGGTCTAGCGACCTTCGTCAAGAACTTTGTAGAAGGATGCAGTATTTGCCAACAGAACAAAGTAAACACGCATCCATCTCACCCACCTCTCGCTCCTATCCCTCCTCCTATATGTAATTGACCTTTCGCTCATTGCTCAGTCGACCTCATTACCGACTTACCCCTATCCGATGGATTCAACTCCATTATGGTCATGGTAGACCATGGACTTTCGAAGGGGGTAGTTTTCACTCCTTGTCTCAAAACGATCGACTCTGAAGGAGTCGCGAACATTTTCTTTTCCAAAGTTTTCTCTAGATACGGACTTTGCGATAAACTTATATCAGACTGCGGACCCCAATTCTCTTCCAGATTCCAACTCGAACTCGGAAAACTCCTGGGATACAAGAACTCTTTATCCACTGCCTTCCACCCTCAGAGTGACGGAGAAACTGAACGAGTTAATCAAGAACTCGAAGTTTATCTTCGGATCTTCTGCGCTAATGACCAGACTGGTTGGGCTGCTATGCTTCCTCTTGCCAAATTCGTTCATAATTCTCGGCACCATTCCGCACGCAGCACTTCCCCTTTCTACCTCATGATGGGCTATCACCTGAAACACCTTCCCGATTCACATCCTAAATCCGACATCCCTAATATTGAATAACGCCTACTTATTCTAAATAAAGCATGCGATGAAGCGCTAGCCGCTCATGAACTCGCTCGTAACACCATGTGTCAACGAATCACGTCTAAATTCGTACCATTCTCTTTAGGCGATAAAGTTTGGCTCGAAGCCAAAAATCTTCATCTCGGATATCCTAATTGGAAGCTCGCTCCGAAATGCGAAGGACCATTTACCATCGTCCAAGTCCTATCGCCCATCACGTATAAATTAAAACTCCCCTCCCAATGGCATATCCATCCTGTATTCCATGCTGCATTATTATCTCCCTATAAAGAGAATGTCATACACAGCCCTAACTTTATTAATGCACCACCAGACATCATTGACGGAGAAGAAGAATATGAAATCGAAGCCATCATCGGTCATCGCGGCTCATCATCTAGACGGTCTTACCATGTTAAGTGGAAAGGGTTCCCTAGTTCCGAGAACGAGTGGTTGACAGAAAGACAATTGGGTAACGCTTCTGATGTTCTCTCTTCTTATAAATGATCGCAGCGACTTTAAACTTTTGTAGTAATCTGGGCTTACTACCCTTAAAACGGGGGTAATGTTACAGTTCTATCTTTTCACCTTTTCACCTTTTCACATTGTCACATATGCTTACCAATTCATTCCATAGTATTCTATTACATTCTATCATACAATTCCAGTTCTCTTTTTCCTATTCGCTATTCATATTCAAGCTCCGCTTCAATACTCTTATATATACCTTACTCTTTACGCTTTGTATCTTTAACTTGACCTACGCAGACCAGGGCCTGCAATCTAGCTTCATCTTCATCAGAACATGGTTGATATGAGAACTTCTTGCTGATATTATAAACAATACTACTGTCATTGATCGAAGCCTATTTTACCTGCGCAGCTTGGACACTATAGCTAATGTGGCCTACTGCACTGGAATGAAACTGGAGGCCTACCCCTGATGTTATCGGACCTTGGCCCATTACACTGGGGCCAGGTGAAATTGACGCCTGCTGCGGTCGTGACATGCCTGTGACGCAACATATGTGATGCAACAGTAGTCATGTCACGGTTCGGCTATGGCTGGCTGGGCTGGGCTCTTACCGATTTCCCAGCGGTTCGGCGGTCCCCATGAACCAAGTCACCTATGTGCGACTCGGTCTGGTCCGCAAGCCACCTGGACCAGCACAAACCAGCACAAGCCAAGAACATGGGAACAACAGCTTGAGCCGGCCTCAAGCCACCTCAAACCAGCTGGTGGGGGCTGCGTCACGGTGGTGAATTTCATTTTCAAGCTTTCTTGTTCCAACCTCAGGCTCCCACTATTTGGCTAGATTCACTGTCTATTACCATGAACAAGGTCCCAGTTCAAGTGGATGGTAGATTTAGGCTAGGAGATGTTTTAGGAACTGGCTCATATGATATGTACTATGTAGTTATTTATTGTTCATATGCTGATTTAGATCTACTTATAATATACCACTTAGCCGTTGTATATTCCGCATGGAACATCATCAATGATGACCGTGTTGCCCTCAAACTTGAAACTATTGTTGACCACCCATCTTCTATAGAGCGTGAATACCACATTTTGAAGCAACTTGAAGGCGGAATTGGCATCCCCCGCACCCTCTGGTTTGGTAGAGAGTCAGTTTATCATGCTATGGTTCTTGAACTTCTTGGGCTATCACTCCACCAACTCTTCCTCGCAAACAATCGAAAATTCAGTCTTCCCCATGTCATGAATATAGGAGATCAGTTGGTCAGTCGTTTGGTCTGAGGTCTTTGCAAATAGGTTGACTTACTTTCCTAGCTCTCACATCTCGAGTACATCCACTCGCATAATTATGTTCACGGCGACATCAAACCGCAGAACATCTTGATGGGTCTTGGAAACTTGAGGCACACTGCCTTCATCATTGATTTTGGTATCACAAAGACATACTGGAACACTAAAACTGGTGACCATGTACCATTTCGCCATGGTCGAAGTCTCTCTGGCACTCCTGCATTCGCCTCAATTAACAATCACTTAGGAGTTGAGCCAGGTCGTTGTGACGATCTTGAGTCGCTTACCTACATGTTAATCTATTTCTTGCGTGGCTCACTTCCATGGTTAACCAGTGATGATGAGAAGTTGTCTGGTTCTACCATACTCGAGCGCAAAGCATGTGCTACCATTGTGGATATATGTCAAGACATCCCCGTTGAGTTTGTGACTATTCTAATCTACACTCGCTCTCTCACATTTGCAGAAGATCCCGACTATGATCACCTTTGTTCAATACTTCACGATCTTCATGCCTCATTGCCTGCACCAGCCACATCCATGTTGGACTTTAGCCAGCTCCGCAATCCTGCCATACACCCCCCTGACAAGTGCTGTGTGGCTAAAGCAATCCTACCATGCCCACCAAAGGAAATGTGCAGATTGACTCGCGTGTGAGTAGTCTGTTTCTTACATCTAAGTCTTTGAACTGAAGCTTAGCTTATTTGCAAGGCTACACCCGTGTAATGGCTCCCCAAGGCGTGCTGCATCAACTCCATGGCAGAAACAGTAACCAGTTACTGAATGATGCTGTTGAATAACCATACTTGTCTGTACATACGATACATATAAGCATGGAGTGGGTTGATCCTGCTGTACATATTACATAATATGATAAATAGCTGTATGTGTCATGTCACGCACTGTAATGCACGTGCAAGTTGCAACTGTAACATTCTTGAGTTTGAGTCCCTTATCAATCACCCTCTATCCATTTTACAGGCTGATTTTGACGGTGTTTTGTTAGACTGGAGGATGTCATTCGCAAGGCTCATGGACATAGCCTCTTCTCCAGCACTGATGTCAATAAGGGCATCCAGGATGCAGACCTCATTTTTGTATCTGTCAATAACCCGACCAAAAAGAGCGGTGTTGGTGCTGGCTTTGCTGCAGACTTGAAGTGAGTTTTCGATTTTGTTGTATCGGCCCTTCCGTTATATGATTGTGTGCTGATGCAACTGGAGCTCAGCTATGTCGAGCTTGCCACTCACCGTATCTACTGTGACTTCATTTACCCAAGAAGAGGATCTGGATGAATGAAAGCATCCTGGGCTAATGACACCCTCAATCAAGGGACCTTTTATCAATATATTCATCCGACTGTGATATAGAAGGCTACATGGAGTCGATTCACTTCGGGTATGTCCTAAATTTTTGCCCTTCAGATTGTGCTCATCAATGTGCCCCGGTTTCACCCTGTGATATGGACTTATGACTCAATCCATGCACTGCCTTTGGGATTTACCACTTGGTGCGTGCATTGGCGTTTTCTGGGGTTTCCCCGTAAGAATGTTTATATAGACAGATGATTCTGTCGTTGTATTGTCACCACCACTACTATAAATGCGAGGCCGTCGACGTGGGGAAAACAAAGCCCAGGCAGCTGCTGTCGTTGCCTCTACTGCTGCTCCAATCCCTGTTGCTGCTGCAGCAGCAGCAAACACTACCACTTTTCTAAACCCTCATTGGCGACAACTCCCTGTTAGGTACAGAACCAGCGGTGCAGCTCATGCTGGCTCAGATGAGGGCGAAAGCTTTGACATCGAGAATATCTCAGGGGATGAAGATGAAGAGGAACCAGGAACCAGGAAATCCTCCTGTGCCCACTGTTATCGCACCGGTGGACTCTAATCCAAGCCCGCTACAGACCATCATGAGCACCGCCCGGACCGACCCTCTGGCCACTGGCAATCTCAAGCAGACTAAAGGGCCAACTGATATAGCTCATTTCTACCGGATTGATCCTGATACTAAGGTCAAAACTTGCGCCCCTTGCGTGTAAGTATCATACCTGCAATCTTTTGTTATTTCTTACACCCTCCACCAGAGCACTACATGAGATTGATGAGACGCACAAGGTCCAGGTATACGCAGGTTCGACAGCCAGCTCAGCTCCCCATAATCATGCTTTCGTTTACCACACTGAACTTTATCTAGAAGCAGCAGAGCATTTTGGCTGGCGCATAACGATAAAGGATCTGAGTGAACACTTTGCTGAAGGGTGGACACTCACAATGATTCGTGAACGGCTCAAGAAATCACCTTGCACGATGCAATTGCTTGGCCCTCCACCTAACCAGGGATCTGGTGCCTCGCAGCTGGTGGGAACCAACTCTCCAGAAGATGCAATTCCAGACTTTACGCTTGACGAGATGCATTGCCAAATTGTGAAGTTTATTGTTGCCGATGACCAGGTGAGTCGCAGTTCACCCTTAAAGCCACCATTAATAATCACCACTAGGCAATAAACATCCTGAATTCAGATGCCTCATCCGTCTCCTGCACCCAGAAATTAGTGAGACTAGCCTATTTCACCGCTCGAAGGCCCACAAAATGGTCATCGAGCAATGGCAGGAATACTTCCTGGCCTTGAAGAAAGACCTTTCTGTAAGTGCATAATTACCGACAGTCCTACAAAGTATCTTATCTCTTTTAGAATGCACAGGGCAAAATCTGCTTCACGTCTGACCTGTGGTCGGATTATAAGCTCCGGCCATTCATGGCCATAACAGCTCATTGGATTGCCAAGGCCAATGCGGATTCAATGCTCATGTTAAAGGCAGCCCTCATCGTGTTCCATCACATCCCTGGCAGTCACGATGGACAATATTTAGGTTCCATGATATTGTACCTGCTTGATCGTGCAGAAACTACGACCAAGGTCAGTACTTATTTGTATCATGTTGCTTGCTCTGACGTTGTTTAGACTGGGCATTTTACTCTCGACAATGCATCCAACAATCATACTTCAATGCAGGAGCTTTCAACCCTACTTGGGCAATGCGGGATTGATTTTGATCCTATTGAACACAGGGTACCGTGTTTCCCACACATGATAAATATATGCGTAAAACATATCATTGACAAATACACTGCTACTGACTTCTCCACCGTAGACGATACATGGACAGTCGAAGATCAGATCATCCAGAAAGTAGATTATGTATGTCTAGGCAGTGCAAGCTAAGCCTCTCGAGCAAGCCAGGAATGTCGTGCGATTGATTTGCGCATCAAATCAGCGGTGCAACAGGTTTCGGGACACCATCGTTAGGGGTAATGAGGAGGGGTGGTTTCAAGATGACAAGGGCGGGCTTACACAGCTCCCGGTCATAGAACTCCTCCTCGATGAACCTACTAGATGGGATTCAGTGTATGTTATGATAAACTGTCTGTGGACACTCCACCAGGTGAGATGCCACACCATTAAACATATATCATAGACTAATACTGGCTCAGGCGACAACCGCATTTTTCGATGCTTGGACTCAGCGCAACATATCTGAGAAAAGATTGAGTGAGATGTATTGGCAGTTCCTCCAGGACCTGGAAGTGATCTTGGAGGTAAGTACTAACACATTCGAAATACATGATCCATTTTACCATTTCACACCAGGCACCCCATGCCGCCCAGCAAAAGCTCTCTAGTGAAAGCACTCCATCACTGAGCCATGCCGTTCCAGCATTTGAAGAAATGATCAAGAACTGGGAGTCTATTAGCCTGCATGCTGTCTTGTTACTTAAGGGTCTTATATGAAAGTTGTGTATAATGACAACACAATTATACACGGTGAAGACTTCTTGCCAGTCCTTAAGTCCACGGTCTCCGACTTTTCTACTTCGTGGGAGGTAACGTGGTGAGTTCTTGGGAGGATTTAGTTTGTTGTCCTCTTCTTGTGTAGTCTTATATGAAGTTGTTGTGGAATGTTCTGTGTTCTGGATAAATTCGTTAGGTTTGTTTCAGCCTAGCAGGTCGTGTTTCAACCTATGAAAGTCTGTTTCAACTTTGTCGTCCTTAGATGTGTCTCACTTTCCGTTGAAAGGGAGAGTCTTATGAATACACGTAAAGCTTAGAATGAGAGCTGTTCAATGGTTATATAGTCAACCCCTGTAAGGTAGTATATAACCTAGAGTAGAATAACGATAATGAAAGTTATATAGTCGACCCCTGTAAGGTAGTATATAACTTTAGAATAGATAATGATATCTTAGATTACCTCAAGGCACTTATATTGGCCTGCACTTTTAAGTCTTAGTGGTCTCACACGGTTTGAGATAAGAGTCAAGTGGGAGGATTGTATTTCATGGGTGAAAATGGGGTCCTTTTATACCTTTTGGGAACCCCCTTACTAAGCATGATTAATCAGATGGATTGGTAAGAATGTGGCTTACAAACCAGGTGATGAATCAGCTTATTACTAAGTACATTACAAATACAGTGTAATCTTACAAAGAAATTAGAAACCATGACAAACCATGACTAAACATGTTGAGTCATGTTAAATGTTGTTACAAAGCATGGCCAATCATGACTAAACATGTTGAGTCAGCTTAAATAATGTTACAAACCAGAATATTTCCCAGTCACATGATGTGATGACAAATAAAAGCTGGTGCCTGAAAGAAGCCAAATACAAATAAACAGTCAGAAATAAATAGAGATACAAAACTTGGTGGCTGAAAGAAGCCAAATAAAAATAAACAATGAGAAATAAACAGAAGGTCACATGCTTGATACAAATACAAGGTAAAATAAGCCTGTAAAGTGAGAAATAAAATACAAGACAATGAAATAAAGGAAAAATAGAGAGGTAACTTAGTGACAAAGGGCTAGACAGTCTCTCATATCTTCCTTATCACTCTCTATATATATCTGACATGGTATGAATCACATACCATGCATGACAACGCACCTCACTGTAAGCCTGTTGTTGACATAGGCTTAACCTGGGCGAGCAAATACACCGATCGGATGGGTGCAACACATGCTCATGCTGTCACTATGTGTCAGTCCCGTGTTTTCTTTTAATAAATGTTGATCTGATGATTACTTTTGTAGTTATTGACCCTGTGACACGGATGTCATGAATGAACAGTCACTGGGAGGAAGACCACGTTATCGATGTCAAGGAGTTTATCGTGAAGCTGGTATGTTTACCTATTATATGAGCACAACTTTCGACTGATTTGTTCTGCAGATGTGTAGCAAGAGAGCGGAACACTCTAATTCTGTGTTGTGTTAGGATGTTTGGCACCAGGGGCTTCCTAGGGGCCATTCTTAATTAGGGATTCAGGGTTCTGGAGGTCTTGGACCCAGTTGGCAGAGCATTTAGAGTAGCAGTTTCCCAGGGTAGACACACATTCCAACCATCACCTGTTTGGCACCCAGTGTTGAGGCATAGCCTCTCCACCTGGTGACTAGAGTGAGCGCACATCACGGCGATCTCTCTCGACGACCTTTGTCGACTCCGTAACATATCCGGATCATACGACAACAAAACCACGCTCAGACGCATAGTATCAGACAGCCAGCTATCACCCCCCAAAGTTCCAAATTCTGTTCATAACCTGACAATTCTCCCGCCAAAGACTCCTAAGACTAGCGTTACAACTGCTAACCT